ATACTAGAACTATACTATACCTATACTGCAATCAGGTTAACTAGGACTGTCATTAGGCACACTAACGCACTTAAAGGGCTCCAATGAAAGCTGCCAGTAGAACATCTCAAATGACTGCCCCTTTCAAAATAATTATTCTGCAAATCCCCTTTCTCCCACTGCCATCTCCACTACCATACTCCTTTTCTTTTGAACACTGCATACCCAGTCAATCAAGGTATAAATGCGCTCTGGCAGTACAGTTCCAGCACTCAGGAGATTAAACTTTACTACTGCTCACTGCTGCAATTGAGTTGGCCTTGCTACTGTTTATGCTGATCTGGAGGTCAAATGTCATCTTATGCCTAGTCCTTACTGTTATCACTTTGTATGCTAAATTGTGTTATTACAATTGTTAAAGCGGTTGTCTGGTCAAAAAAATAAAAGGCAGCAGCTACAAAAACTGTAGCTGCTGCCTTTTAAAAAACAGATACTCACCTGTCTCTTGATCCAGTGGTGTCTTTACAGTGGCCATCCTGTGTCCCTGGCCCCGGCATCTTCAGTGTGGGCACCCGTCTGGGACAGCTTGCGACTTCACAGCCGGGTGACCACTGCACATGTGTGAGCAGCACTGCGCCTTGTGAATGGTACTGTAGTCTTCGGAGACCTGTGACGTGTCCTAGAAGACTACGGGAAAGAGGGGGGAGGACAACTTCCACTTCTGATCACTACGAGAACTCAGCGGAAGTGGGAGAGGGTACCTGTCAAATCTGGGTATCCGTGCTCCCCAAAGGTGCCAACGGGGAGTAGAGGACGAGGCCTTAAAGCAGAACTCCCTCTTTTGGGTGTAGCTCCGCTTTAACCAGCTGTTGCCGCCCGGCCTATAGCCAAATGGTGGCCGGGCGAACAGCTCTTCCCCCCAGGTGGACACCATATGGCGTCCTTTCTGGAACGCGCATTGCGCATGCCCGCAGGGCCGCGCTGCAGCGCAATCTGTCACCGGCCGTGTATCTCGGACACAGCCGATGACAGATCTGTGTACCGGTCCCATTGCCAGTACCATGTGATTGGTCACAGCAGGTCACATGACAGTTGTATACAATGGATGGCTTCCTTTCATGCCTAGCTGTGTCATGTGATTAGCTGTGGCCAAATCACAGCTAATCACAAAAAAGCACTGAATGAATCGATTTCATTCAGGTAAATGCTTGCTTATAGCAGAGTAATTCTTTGTTATAAGCAAATTGTGTAAAAAAAAAAAATACTGCTCACTTCCCCAAAGTAGTACAATGTTACTATGGTAACATTATACTACTTTGGTCATGGTGAAATATGAAAAAAAAATCTTAACAAGAGAAAAAGAATTAATAAAAAAATAAAATAAAAAATAAAATAAAAAATTTTAATGATAATTTAGTTTTTTTATACTGTCACCAGTCAGTGCCCCTGATCACCGCCATGCCAGTTATATGATGATGTTGTACTGCACTGGTGACAGTATGTAAAAAAAAAAATAGTGAAAATCATTTTTTTAATTTCTTCATTTTCCGAAAAATTGACAAAAAAATTACAACTTCAAAAAACTCGCCATGCATCTTATGAAATACATCGGACTGTCTACTTTGCAAAAAGGGGTCATTTGGGGGATATCTGTACTGTTCTGACATTCTTGGACCTCAAGAAAGTAGATTGGCTGTCAGATTGATCAATTTTCAGATACATCCCATAGTTTCCTACAGACTAAATAATACATCCTAATTTATGTATTTTCACCAAAGACATGTAGCAGAATGCATCTTGGCCTATATTTATGAAGAAAAATCATTTATTAGCAAACTTTTATAACAGAAACAAATAAAAACGTGTTTTTTTTTCAAAATTTTTCGTATTGTTTTGTTAATTTAGCAAAAAATAAAAACCCTAGTGGTGATTAAATACCATGAGAAAAAGGGGAAAAAGGAGAGAAGCGCCTCTAAGTGCAATAAGTCTTTTAATTCAAGTCTAAATGTAGAAACACTCACATGTGTGAAGTAATCATAAGCATAAAAACCGTGGTTAACAATAGTTAACGGTGGGGTGGTAACCCGGGTGAAGAGCCGTCATCTTACTGCGATGTGGGGAGGTCAGCTCTCGGCTGGAACAGCGTGGTGGCTGGAGGGGGAACAGCGGTGAGGCCGGCCGGCGTGCACGTCCTCCCTCAGAGCCGGATGGAACGCACGCTGGAACGTAGCGGCGGTGTGGCCGTGATGACGTCAGATCCCAGGGTGCACTGCAACGCGTTTCGGAGCATGCACTGGCCGTGGAAGGCGGAAGTAAACTCCTTTTTCAAGCAGGGGGAGGTGGATGAACAGGGGTGATTAAATACCATCAAAAGAAAGCTCTAGTTGTGTGAAAAAAATGATAAACGTTTGGGTATAGTATTGTATGACCGCGCAATTGTCATTCAAAGTGTGAGAGCACTGAAACCTGAAAATCGGCCTGGGCAGGAAGGGGGTAAAAGTGCCCGGTATAGAAATGGTTAATCTATGTTATGCTTGCCTAGTTACCAACCATATTGGGTAACAATAGATTAAGTTTGCCTTTACTACCAGGTTTTGTGCCTGTTTGCTTTGATATGGCACTACTATTGGGTACTAAGTATTACTTTCAGTGAATTTCTATGATATTGTATGTTTGTACACTCAACCTGGTGTGACAGAGGGGCTGAGGTTCTTGAGAAGGTCGAGGCAAAGAACAGAGGATGCATCCTATCCAACTGCTCCTATGTGGGTAGTGCAACATGTGTATGATGCATGTCTCACACAGCTCAGCCTTCGCTATGACATTTTATAATTATGTTCTTATGTTTCTTTCCTTGCTGGAGGGATCATTTCTGACTTCACCTCATCAACTCCGGACAAGTGGGTTCAGGCTTGTACATACATTTACCCTAAACAGAACAGTGCAACTTAAAACTAATTATTATGCTCCTTGAACTGGCTCAGTTCATGTTATCATAAAACGGAGGAAAACACATTTACATTTATATTTGCTGTTTCGGGTGTCGGAAGTGCTTGCTTTTTATCATTATGCAAGACAGGGCAACAAGATTTTCCTGTGTCAGAAGTTCTTGGTGAAACACCTATATCTGTCTACATTTATAACTAGCCTAAATGACTCTCAATCCAGGATCATTCAATAAAAGAGATTCAATAATGTATGCTAGTGGTACAGTATGTGCAGAACAGGGGCGGACTGACAACTCATGGGGCCCCCGGGCAATAGGGGATTATGGAGCCCCTGTGTCCTTGCCCAAACAAAAAAGACTATAAAAAAGGTACCAGGGGCATCTCATGGGGCCCCCTACTGACCCCGGGCCCTCGGGCAGTGCTCGAGCTTCCAAATGGTCAGTCCGCCTGTGGTGCAGAAACTCTGGAGTTTAGGTAGTATCCTGTACAAAAGTAAATAGCAAAACAGTGCAGCACGTAAAGAATCTAACAAAGTGAATAGTATGGAAATCGATGAATAAAACAAGATACATTATATCCAAAAGTGTCACAGTGTAACCAGCAATGGAATATTAAACAGTATAGTCCTTCCAGTATAAATCTGTATGCTTATGGTGCCAATCACAGCAGACAGTGTTCAATCCCACCAAGTGCTTTTTATCCAGTGCAAAGTCCTCCACCACTACGCACTCACCTACTTGGTCAATAGCATGTATATTTTAACCATGAAGTCTATGTCATCCGCTCTTCAGCGACTCTATCAGTCCGGTTAGAACCCTAAGAAGAGATGCTCACCACATGGAGCCACAGGATTGGTATATATGTAGTAGTTTAATAATCATAAAAGCATTCCAGGTCTTGCACATGGTCTGATGCTGCCATATGCTTGATGGCCATCAAAGCTGAACTATGTCAACACTGCTGTTGGAGACTGAACAGATGAGAAATTAGAGCCCTGCAAGATGGAACCATTTTAGGACCTGGAGTGTCCCTTTATGCTGAGATATTGGAGCTTGATGGGTATATGAGCGGAGTGTGACCCTAGTGTGAGCAGTTTCATCCCATGTGTCCACATTGAGCTTGATGACCCCACAGCCCTAGACCAGACCCAGATGACCCTTTATGGATACATCTTTAAAGCGCATTTATTATGTGCTTCTGGTAAGTGCATAGTGTCACTGGTTCTCATCACCTGAAGTCATCAGCATGGAGCACAAATCACTTATGCTGTATTTGACCAAATGAACTTTCCACCAGTTGTCACCATATTTCTGGCTTTCATATCTAAACGTCATCATAAGACGTTATTATCACTTTATCACCCTTGCGCCATATTAGCGCTCACTTGATATATGTTTACTAATGTTATTGTACAATATCATCATTGCGCACTTTTTTGGCATTTGTAGTGTTTAGCACTGCATATTTATTGCTATTTATTCCATATAAAACATTCCATGTGGAACAATCAAGATATCACATACCAAGATGGCTCGTGGACACAGCGGTGTGACGTCAGCACGTAGGCACCACACACCTGCCTTCTCACAATTTTCAATCCTGGGGCTCCGTGTGGTGAGGATCTCTTCTTAGGGTTCTAACCCGACTGGTAAACTTGCTTTTGGATATAAGTTATCTTGTTTTATTCATTGATTTGCTATACTATTCACTTTGATAGATTCTTTATGTGCAGCACTGTTTTGTTATTTACATTGGTATTGAGATTTTGTCACTATCTTCTTGTACCAGCTGCTTCCATCTCTGTAGCGCTCACTGTTTATTTTTGAATTTGATTAGTATCCTTTACAGCTGGGGTATTGAATTAAAATTCAAGGAGGTCCTGTCACTAAAATTTTCTTCTGGCCAAGGTCTGAACAGGGTGTGCTTGACATCATGTATTCCCATCACATCAGGTGTGCCCATCAGAGTGCCCTTTTACATCAGGTATCCCCATCACATTGCAATCTCACATCAGGCATTCCCATCAGAGTGCCCCCTTACACTCAAAGTACCCCTTTCCATCATTTTTTCCTATCAGAGTGCCCCTTTACATCACATGTGTCCATCAGAGTGCCCCTTTCCACAGTATGTGCTCATTTGTGCCCCTTAACATATCGTGCCCATCAGAGTGCCCCCTTAACATAAAAGAAGCGCATCAGAGTACCCATTAACATAAAATGGGTCCATCAGAGTTCCCCTTAAAATAAAATGGGCCCGTCAGAGTGTACCTTACCATGAAATGTACCCCTTAACATCAAATGGGCCCATCACAGTGCCCCTTAACATAAAATGTGCCCATCAAAGTGCCCCTTAACATAAAATGGGCCCATCACAGTACCCCTTAATAAAATGTGGCCCATCAAAGTGCCCCTTAAAATGGGCATAAAAAAATGGGCCCATCACAGTACCCCTTAACATAAAATGTGGCCATTAAAGTGCCCCTTAACATAAAATGGGCCCATCACAGTACCCCTTAACATAAAATGTGGCCATCAAAGTGCCCCTTAACATAAAATGGGCCCATCAAAGTGCCCCTGTACATAAAATGTGCCCATCCCCAACATAAAATGTGCCCCTTAACATAACAAAAATGTGGCTATCAAAATGCCCCTTAACATAAAATGGGCCCATCATAGTGCCCCTTAACAAAATGGGCCCATCAAAGTGACCCTTAGCATAAAATGGGCCCATCAAAGTGACCCTTAACATAAAATGTGACCATCAAAGTGCCCCTTAACATACAATGGGCCCATCAGAGTTCCCCTTAACATAAAATGGGCCCATTACAGTGCCCCTTAACATAAAATGTGCCTGTCAGAGTGCCCCTTACCATAAAATGTGCCCCTTAACATAAAATGGGCCCATCACAGTGCCCCTTAACATAAAATGGGCTCATCAAAGTTTCCCTTAACATAAAATGGGCTCATCATCCCCTTGAAAAAAAAATGCCCATCAAAGTGCCCCTTAACATAAAATGGGCCCATCAAAGTGTCCCTTAACATAAAATGGGCCCATCACAGAGCCCCTTAACATAAAATGTGCCCATTAGAGTGCTCCTTAACATAAAATAAGGGGCATTCTGATGGGCACATTTATATTAAGGAGCACTGTGTTGAGCACATTTTATGTTAAGGGGCACTCTGATGGTCATGTTATGTTAAGGGGCACTCTGATGGGCACATTCTATGTTGTGCCCATCAGAGTGCCCCTTAACATTCAATGTGCCCATCATCATGTCCCTTTAACATTCAATGTGCCCATCAGAGTGCCCCTGTAAGACCACACCCTACCTTGAGGGCAGACCGGAGCTGTGCCGGGATCCTTACTGAAGGATCAGCTGCGCACTTGTGTACAGGCAGGGAGCCGGAGAGACAGTGAGCTGCAAGGAGCTTTTTTTTAAATATATTCTTCAGATTTTTTTTAACATATAAAAATAATTTTAACATTTGTATTTTTACATATATTTGTAAATGCATTCCAAAAATGTAGATTTGTATTTTTAAAGACATACAGTATATTTGAAATGTATTTTTAAAAATATTCTTCATATATTTTGTAATAAAAAACGCATTTCAACATACAGTGTATATATATATATATATATATATATATATATATATATATATATATATTGAAATATATTGAATATGGCCAAAATTGTAGCATTTCAGATATATGGCAATATATTTGGGAAGAATATTTTTTACAAATATTTTTCTTCCATATGAGTATGCTGGCTCTGGGGACCAAAGACTGGTGAAGAAATCGGCCCAGGTGAGGACGGCGCAGGATCCTTGGACAGGTGAGTGTCTCTTTATTAACACGTAAAGGTTCACATGCTTTAAAACTTCAATCAATTCTGCAAAAATTAAAAGTCAGCAATAGCAAAAAACTATAGCTGCTGACTTTTAATTTTTGCAGCATTGACTGAAGAACTGCTTTAGGCCCCTTTCACAGGGACGTTCCATATGTCTGTTTTTTATCTGTCCGTTTACGGATGAAAAATGGACACTCATGTATTTCTATGGATTATCGGAGGTAAACGGTTGATCATCTGTTTACAGCCGTTATTGTCTGCATCCATTAACATCCGTTTTTTTAACAGAAGAAACCCCTATTTTTCTTCTATTAAAAAAAAAATGGAACGGATGTAAATGGAAAAAAAAACACGGATGTAAATGGAAGAAAATGTTATGTAAATGGACAAAACATGAATGTAAACAGATGAAAAACAAATGTAAACAAACAAAAAAACAGATGAAAAACAAGTGTAAATGGATGTAAAATGGATGTAAACTGATGAAAAACTGATGTAAACTGATCTGTTTTTTCTTGGAAAAAGCATGATTGAATGGATGAAAAAAATGGAATACCCGTGTGAAAGGGGCCTGAAAGTATGTGAACCTTTCCCTTGTAACCAGTGGTGTATTTATGTGTTGTGCTGCCCTAGGCAACACACAAAAATTGCCTCCCCCCCATGGAGAGACCCTGACACTGAGCAGCACCCCCCCCACAAAGAGAGCCTGACATTAACCAAAAACACCCTAGACCCCCACCCAAGAAAGCCTTCCACTACCACCCCCCCCCCCCCCCCCCCCCCCCATACAGTGGCAGCACTCGCCCTTGCGAGAGAGAAGACACTCACCTTCACAGCTCCGGACATCCCCAGGAACAAGAGTCAGGCTTTGTATACGCCATCAAGCAGCCCCTTTCAGATCCCACCATGCTGCGTGTGTCCCTTCTTCCATCCCTTGCTTTAGGGGGTGGCACTGCCCTCCTGAAAAATGCCGCTGACCCCCTGAAAAATGCCGTCCTAGGCAAATGCCTTGTTTGCCTTGCAGTAAATACACCCCTGCTTGTAACAGAAACAAGATATACCTGTGCTGAAATCCCAATAGCTTGTACATTATTATTATTATTATACAGGATTTCTATAGCGCCAACAGTTTTCTCAGCGGTTTACAATATAAAGGGAGACAATACAGCAACAATACAGTTCAATACAAGAGGGACAGGAGGGACCTGATCCTTGGAGCTCACAATTTAGGAGGGAGGAGCTAGAGGTACAAAAGTTAGTAACTGTGGGGGATGGACTGGTTGGAAGAGTAGAAGATTCCATTATTAGCTGAGGGCAGGATAGGCTTCCCTGAAGAGATAGGTTGTCAGAGATCGCCTAAAAGTGAGCAGAGTAGGCGATAGTCTAATAAATTGGGGTAGAGAGTTCCAGAGCATGGGGGAAGCTCTGGAGAAGTCCTGGAGACAAGCATGGGAGGAGGAGACAAGGGAGCTAGAGAGTAGGAGGTCGTGCGAGGAGCGGAGAGTACGGTTTGGGTGATATTTGGAGACAAGATTGGTGATGTAATTTGGGGAAGAGTTATAAATGGCTTTCTATGTTATTGTTAATGTTTTGAATTGTATCCGTTGGGCAATGGGAAGCCAGTGAAGGGATTGGCAGAGAGGGGAGGCAGATATGGAACGGCTAGTAAGGTGGATGAGTCTGGCAGCAGCATTCATGATAGACTGACGAGGGGATAGCCTGCGATGAGACAGACCAATGAGGAGGGAGTTACAATAGTCAAGGCATGATATAACAAGGGAGTGAATTAGTTGCTTAGTGGTTTCCGAGGTTAGGAACGGCCGTATCTTGGAGATGTTGTGGAGCTGAAGTCTACAAGATTTGGACAGCGATTGGATTTGGGGCTGAAAGGACAGATGGGAGTCCAGGATTACACTTAGCACCCTGGCATGAGGGGAGGGACTGATGATTGTGTTATTGATGTTGATGGAGGTGTTGGGGGAGGGGGCACGGGCTGGGGGGAATACTAGGAGCTCAGTTTTGGAAAGATTGAGTTTGAGGAAGTGGAGTGACATCCATGTCGATATGTACATGCATTTATCTATAAGGTGCCAAGGGGGTGTTAGAAATCCTGGAGGAACCCTCTGCACACTGCTAATTACCTTTTCCAGCAAACGTTGCAATAAAATGAGGGATTTGTAGTTCCCACATATTGCAATACATGTACAAGCTGGCCAACTGCATCAGAGTAATCCCTCTATGGCCAATCCTACTCTTTCTGTCAATGCAAACTCTACTGTGGACCAAGGGCCGACTGACCATTCAAGCAGTTGGGCACTGCCCGAGGGCCCGGGGTCAGTAGGGGCCCCATGAAATGCCCCTGGTACCTTTTTTATAAGATTTTTTGAGTTTGGGCAAGGACACAGGGGCCCCATGATTCCCTATTGCCCGGGGGCCCCATGAGTTGTCAGTCCGCCCCTGCTGTGGACACAATGCTCTTTGCTGGGGAGCATCATTAGCAGTGTGCAGAGGGTTCCTCTGGGATCTCTCGTGCTAACATCTGGCTTTTAGCACCTGATAGATAAATGCATGTACAAGCTATTGGGATCTGAGCACAGGTATATCTTGTTTCTGTTGCATAGTAGGTCAGTAGCCAGACCTAAACCTAGTAGTTCTCCCCCACTTTGTGTCTACTTGCCCCAGGTTGGCACTGGGTCCACAGCAGCATTTGCGCAGGCAGAGCATAGTATGACTGGCCACAGAGGGATTACTTTGACGCAGTTGGCCAGCTTATACATGTATTACAGTATGTGGGAACTAAAAATCCCTATTTTTTATTGCAACATTTGCTGTAAAAGGTAAATAGAAGTGTGCAGAGGGTTCCACTGGGATTTCTAGCCTGTGCCTTGTAAAACCCCATTCATTTTAAAAGAGAAATGTAAGGCAAACTGTTTATGTATAGATATTAAAAAAATGCAAAACAGACAAAACGCACACTGCATAGGTGTGAAAGGAGCCTAAAGCTGGCCATATACGTGTAGATTTTTAGACAAGAATATTTGTATGAAAAGTCGTTTGAAAAATCTTTGAACATTCAGTGAATGCACGAAGGTCATTCAAAAATTGTGTTTTGCTTTTAATGAATGTAATTTCTGAAGGATAACTGCATACACCGGCCGAAAATTCGTTTGATCGAGAAAAGTCTTCCTTCCTGCTTTAGAGAGGTGGGAGTGGAGAAAGATCACTACACTGATCTTGACAGTGAATGGCTGTGCAGAAGGGAGGGGCGTGTCAGCATAAATCTGACCATTAGAGGACAGGCAGGCTGTTATCCCAGCACAGCCAGAAACTGACCACACTGCGATGCACATGCTCTCATTGCCAGGGTGGTCAATTTGAAATAGGAAAGCAGAGGGATTGTCAGGAAGCAATACAAAGGAAGCAATACAAAGTGAATAGGATACTTTTTAACACAAGTACATGGTACAACAGACACTTATCACGACAGTGAGTGAGGCTTAGTAGCTCTGAAGCCAGATTGAAAGAGGAATCGCCCCACCAGCAAGGGCATGAAGGAAGCAGCGTTCTAAGTTCGTTCTAGTATCTTCAGTGAGGTGAGGGGGAGTGGACCCATCTCAGAACCAACCGCTGGAGTCAAGCATGTTGAGTGTGTGTAAAGTGGCCTCAGCACCATGATAGCCATGCCCACTGACGCGTTTTGCCCCGCCCATCAAGCTTGGTCATAGAGGCGCTTATCAGGGATATGAAATGTTGGGGTGACATATTATTCTTTAAATTGTGAATAGATAAAGATCAGTTGTTTGGGGATGTTAAAGAGTACAAGCACAATTCTCTCCTTTCAAAATGTCCATACACCAGAGAAGCAATGAAGTACAGCCAATAGGACTCTTATACATAGGCACATATACATAATCATTTACTGATATTTATAAGCAGGCAGAGGCTGGCAGAAAGATCCTAAGTAGAGACAAATGCAAGTTATGTTCTGCAAAGCTGTCATGTACACACATAAATGTGTCTTCCAGT